GGGGGCGGGACCGACCTCGGCCATGGCGGTGCTGCGCGGACAGAGCGCGGCGGCTGCAGTACCCGCCGCGGCGCCCCCATTTATAGCAGCGCGGCGAGCGCTGATTGGTGCGTTGCCGAGCCCGCCCCGCCCCGCCGCCCCGCGCTCTGCCGCTCGGCTTGTGTTTCTTCCTTCTCAAAAAAGTGTGTTTTCCGTAAAAAAACCGCGACCGCGGCACCCCGTTTCTTAGCATTCTTGCTGGGGACATAAGATATTTTTATCTTTCGGCGTTTCTTTTGGCTGAGAGTTAAAATGAGTTTCAGGCAAGGCAATAATCCCCGAGTTTGGGGATCGCACACGGAGTCGGACGATGAGATTTTTATTTTTCCTTTTGAATTAAAGCTTTGCTTCCGACAGCACTGTCACAGTGGCAGCGGATTCATGTTCCCGAGACGGTTTTTCATCACAGTAGTGCAAAATAGAGGTAATCCGGAGACATTTTCTTAGCGTAAATTAGCTTTGAACAGAAGCAAGTAACACAAAGTAGCCACTCAGTTCTGTATCTGGGTTAGGGTTGTTTCCCGTAACGCGGCTTCATCTCTTAAAAATAATGAAACCTTTGGACGTAATGCCCTATTTCGCTCTACTCGGAGCTAATAAATAGTAAAAGAAAGACGGTTTTCACCAGAAACGTTAATGTGAAAAAGCTCTTTTAAATCATCAGGTACCTTCAATATCTCATGAGAACATCGAGAAGTTCTTTCATTGTTTCCCTCAGTTTTCTGCGTCCTTGTATTAATATTTTAATAAACTATATTCCCTTTTTCTTCTCCAAAAGAATTCTTTTGATTAAGCACAATACATCAAGACATTAATTTGTATGTTCTTATTTTAAGATAGAGTTTATTTTTCTGCTTACTTACACTGGACTTCAGGTATTTTGTCAGCCAGAATCAGCAGTTGTGCAAAAAAACCCCAAAATATGGTGTACATGTTTTCTTTATGAAAAACAGAGGTAAGGCTGCAGGCATTTCTTTAATAAAATAATATAAAACAAGTGGCTTAATCAAACAATTTTGTCCTCAGAACTGCTGAGATAAACTAGGGCATGGCTTTTTCCAATCCGTATGAGTTTTGTGATGTGAGATAAACTGAATATACATAAAATGATTTTTTCTTGGGATGAGTTGGATAGAGGATTGTCATGTTCAAAAATATGTAGTACAATGTGGGAAAGGAGACCCTGGTGATTAGTTCATTTGGCTTCTTCCACTTTTTCTTTCACTAATGTAATATCACACACCATCTTGTAGAGTTCTGGTGAGGGAGAGATCAGTTTTAAGAGCTTGTCAGTGGTGCCAATTTAGCATGACTAGGATGCACCTGAAGTGTGAGAAACTGCCAAGAGTAGCATTTCAGAGGGGCTTCTGTCTAGAGAAGACAAAACATCAGAATAACATCATATGCGAGAGTATAAAAAAGAGAAGATCATGTGGATTTGGAGCCAATGTCTGTACTGATGTTATATTTCATGGTGGTTTCACCTGCTGACCCCACTGTGGATTGCGGGTTGTGAACTACATTGTCACGGAAGTGAATCTGCTGGGAAGGACACATACCTTCGAGGAGAAAGTTCTGGCGGTTAGTTCAGTAGCATACAGATTTCCTTCAAATTCTGTATCTTAGTCCATTCTATTCACTCATGTCAGAGTCAGGCTACTAGTAGCTTTACCTCAATTCTTTTGATCCTTTTGCAAATGCATTTTCCTGGGTTTAGGCTAGGCCTCTATCCTTCTTCCAAACACCTAATGTAGCAGCACAGTCCTGGAGCAGTGTATATGCTTTCCTAAAAGCTCATTTTTCTGGTCCTCCAACTTTTGACCATATATCTGGACTTCTTAATTTTGTTTTTTACACTCATAGACAGTTAGTTCTATGCTCAGCAAAGGTGGAAATGCAAAGGGATCTTGCAAATGTTATCAGGTGGAGAAGAGGAAGGAGGAAATAATTTTATAAGTGCCCTTTAATTCCTTTAATTTAATGGGCAACCTTATTTTAAAAAAGTTAATTACTTATTTCAAATATTATCTTGAAGAAAAAAAGATTTTAACCTTTTTTTTTCTGATATGAAGCTTTGTACGATGATGTATTCAGTAAAAACAGACAGACTTCTGCCTCCTATTTTTCCCTGAAAAAAAAAAATAGTCAAGCAAACAGAACATTTATTAAAATACAAAAGGTAGAAGGTACTGCTCACAGTGGACTGGGATATTTGGATGTGACAGAAATTTTTCAGATCTTCAGTCAGAAATGCAAGGACTCATTTTTCTCCTACTCTGGTATTGGATAAATGCTTTCATGAACATCTTTCTTTTGAGCCCATGTGACTCGGTGCCCTGTAGAATCATAGAATGGTTTGGGTTGAAGGGACCTTCGAAGATTACTGAGACCAACCCCCCCTTGTCATGGGCAGGGACACCTTCCACTAGACCAGGCTGCTCAAAGCCCCATCCAACCTGGCCTTGAACACTGCCACTGACAGGGCATCAACAACTTCTCTGGGCAACTTGTTCCAGTGTGTTCCACCACTTTTGTCATCAAAAATTTCTTCCTTAGAACCACTCTAAATCTACCCTCTTTCAGTTTAAAACCATTGCCCCTTGCCTGTCATTACAGGCCCTGGTGAAAAGTCTTTCTCTGTCTTATTCTTATAAGCACCCTTCATATAGTGAAAGGCTGCAATAATGTCTTGCCTCAGCCTTTTCTTCTTCAGGCTGAAAAACCCCAACTCTCTGAGCTTTTATTCATGTGAAAGAGAGGTGTCCCTTGAGGGACACCACTCATTACTGGTTTCCATTTGGATATTGGGCCACTGACTATAACTCTTTGGTGCAACCACCCGGCCAATTCCTTATCCAGCAGTCCATCTATCAAATCCATACCTCTCGTCTATCACCTCCCTGTCTTCCATATACTCCGACATAGCTTCCAGGAGGATCTGCTCTATGATCTTACCAGATCACTGAGGTGAGGCTGACTGGTCAGTAGTTCCCAGTGTCCTCCTTTTTACCTGTTCCCTGTTATAAAAGGATATCACACCATTTTTTAAAATGGGTGTAACATTCCCTTTCTCCAGTCACTGGGGATTTCACCTGACTGCCATGACTTTTCAAATATTATGGAGAGTGGCTTGGCAACTACATCTGCCAATTCCCTCAGGAAAACTGAGACAAAAAAATTGCTAAGTACCTCAGCCTTCTCTGTGTCAGTTGTCACTAGATCTCCCGTCTTATTTATTGGGGGGTACATTTTCTGTAGTCTTCCTTTTCTGATCAACTGCAGAAGCCCTTCTTATTGTTCTTCATATCCCTTGTGAAATTCAGCAGCAGATATGCCTTAGGTTTCCTGATCCCATCTCTACACACCCAGACATCATCCCTATATTCTTCCCAGGATGCATGTCCCTGCTTCCACTGCCTGTGCATTTCCTTCTTGCACTTCAGTTCAACCAGAAGGTCCTTACTGGACCATATTGGTCTCCTGCCTTCCTACCTGCTTTCTTACATATGGGAATCAAGAGCACTTGTTTTCTAAGAAAAATGTCCTTAAATAGCTGCCAGCTCTGTTCTGCTCCTTTATCCCTGAGGGCAGTTTCCCAGGGAGTCTTATCCACGAGTTCCTTAAACAACTGAAAGTTTGCTCTGCTAAAATTCAGGGTCTTGACTTTATGTTTGCCTGGCCCACATCCCTCAAGTTCCTGATGGGCTTGGGCCCAGGCTGCCGCTGTCTTGACCTCTCCAATTTGTTCATTTGTGTTGGTGAGCAACAGGTCCAGTAGTGCTTCTCCTCTAGTTGGGCTGTCTTTCACCTGGATTAAAAAATTTTCCTCAACACACTCCAGGAGTCTCCTGGATGGCTTACAGCTTGCTGTGCCGCTTTTCCAGCAGATGTCAAGTTGACTGCAGGATCAGAGCCTGTGAGTGTGATGCTTCCTGTAGTTGAAGTAAGAAAGTTTCATCAACATCCCCGCCTTGATTAGGTGGCCTGTAGTAAATACCAACCATGAGGCTTCCTTTGTTGGCTTGGCCTCTAATTTTTACCCATAAGCTCTCAACTGTTCATCGCCGTTTTTCAAAGACAACTTTGTGCAATCAATCCATTTTTTCACATAGAGGACAACCCCCCACACCCCAAGCTCCTTCCTTGCCTGTCCCTTCTGAAGTTGATAGCCATCAATTGCAGCACTCCAGTCTTGTGATTCATCCCACCGAGTGAACTATGACTGTGCTGGACTTTTACTGTTTGCTCAGGAGATATATGGAGGCGTCCATCTCACAGACGCAGCTGAGGAGGCAGGACTGCAGCATACATATGCTTATTTCAAACAGGGTGAACAAGATCATGCATTAAGCCTATAGCTGCACAGCCCCATTAACAGGTTTTTCACCTTGGCCTGCCTAAGGCTGCACAGCATCTTCCATATTTTCTCAAGCAAGTAGCTCTTCCTGATGCCTGTGCTGCTGAGCTTCATATTTTATGTGATCCAGCTAAATTCATTCCGACTTATGGGTGCTCCAGGTACATAAGAAACGTAAATGAAGTCACAGAGTCACTCAAGGCAATTCAAATCTGCCCTTGATGTAATTGCAGACTTGGGATGATTTGGGAGATATCTGTTGTCCATAGATGATGGATTTTATTTTAAAACTGATTTATCATGATGTTCTAATTCATAACCATTGTTACATGAGTAAGAAAACTTCATATCTCAACAGGGAAGTGGTTACGGCTGCATACTGTTAGGTCTCCAGCAAAGGACTCTTCCTCATGGTAAAAGGTTTTTGTATTCATACAGACTTAAAATACCCAGATACCGCAGTAATCTCTTAAAATAAGAAATCCATGACCAGAGGTATGGCAGGCATTAGGCAGAAAATTTGGTTACTACAAGGGGATCCATGGATACAGCTTTCTTATTTTCTTTTTTAAATTATCTCCTTGCAAAAA